TGTTCCTTAGAGATTCACCTAAGAAAATTTGTTCTTCAGAGAAACTAAAAGCTGCAACCTGAAACCCAGAGGATGCATAGAATTTGGTCTCCTGCAGGTGTCCCTGCTCAATGTACAAAATAGGTACCTCTTTTTGAAAACCGGCATGGATAAAATTTAATAGCCTGCTGGTACTGTAGATAAATACCACTTTCACAACTGTTGAAAAGAAATGAACTTTAATATGGAACATGCAAGATATAATTGCTGCCAGAAATATGCAAGAATGGTAAATAGTTCCCTTGAGTCTGTAATTAAACATTTAGATGAATGAGCTTTCACATACTTAATGCTTATTACTCTTAAGGCATTTCTATGGACCAGATAGTGCTTTCTGATTTTTTTTTTTTTTTTTGGTTATCAATATAGATTACACGTATATCTTAGTCTTTGGGTAAGCATGAGAATTATGACAACCTTTGTTGTTAGCCTGTTATCTGACTCGTGCCTGCTGAACAGATCACCTGGAAGTATTTTGGATGGACAGACTCAGCTGCTGTATATTCAGGGGATGTGAAGCTGTTTTGTACTCTGTAAAGGAGGCTCAGGCTGTTTTCAAGCTTGCTGTCTCTACAGGTAATGTAAAATATTCTAAGCCTCCTTAGCATGACTTGTTAAGATCTACTATAAAAATGCTATAGGGTGCTTTTCCATTACTATTTATGAAAATGGAGTATTCTAAATATTCTAAAATGATTTTGAGGAAAACCAAGGAAGAACCTCTGAATAGGACTGCCAGTCCATCACTGCCTATCTATTTTATGTGAGAGAAGACTGGGCAATAGCTTCCTTTGTGCACATTTGGGAGTTCTCCTTTTTCTCAAAAATATGTCCCGTACTTCAAATGCTGATGTTCGTTTTCAGCATATGGGGGTCATTAGCAATATTGAAGCTGGACATATGGCTTAATGTGTTAAATCACTTTAGAATGTTGCATCTGTTTTTTTACCCTGGTGTTAACACCTGGATCAGTTTAGCACTAGTGCAGAAGTTCAGGACATATAGAGCTGTTAATTTTAAAAACATCTGGGCTTTTTTGTGTGTATGCATATATATGTGTATGTATGAACTGCTTGGTCTCTGCTATTATTTGAGTTTGATGGAAAAAATCTTACTTGCATTGTGCTGAAGGTGTGTACTGACCTACACAGCAAATTAGCAGGAGGCAGAAGGAATCTTTTGAGTTGATAAACAAATGATTTGCCTGTATAGCTCTTGTCTTTCTTCAGACTTCCATTTCTAAAGTATTGATAGCTGGCTATGATTCTTCCTTCTTCTACTCTCAAACTGATCCATTTGTTGTACTCTGAATGAGATATCTTGCTCTCCCGGGATGCGTGAAATGGGCAGGCATTAAAAATTGACAAAAGCGAGTTCCCTGGCTGAGTCTGCAAGCCTTATCTGAAGCTGCTCGAAAGTAAAAATGCCAGTTGCGTTGGAGCTTTGAAAAATGACTTTCCCTTGTGACCCAGTGCCTTTTAGCAAGAGCAGAGTTTACAGCTCTTTTTAAGAGTGATGAGTGCAGTTGGCGAGCTTCTCTTGTTATGCCCATTAGCAAGATTGGACTAATCTGCAGGACGTAAACTGGAGGTAAACTGTGAGTGAAAGAGAAGGAGAAGACAAGGCTAAAAAGATGTTTTGTACTTTCCTTTATCCCAGAGTCTTTCCTGGAGACAGCAGTTAATAACATTTTCTATCTGCGGAGAGCCCCGGTCACTGTGAGCACAGAAGCATTATAAAGGACATGTCAGCACTGCCTGTCAGGCCGTCAGGAGGAACTGCTTTTGAAATTGCTGTTGAAATCACTGCCTAAGCATCAATACTGCAACAGAAGTAATAGCTTGTTATTTTAGTAATTAAAGATGAGGCCTCGTCAGCCAGGTTTGGGCTGGGCCATGGCCTGCGGGAGGGCCTGGACTGGGGGCCCTGTGGTTGGGCTGTGGGAGCTGGAGGCCTTTCACACTTCTAAGAGCAAAATGGCATAGGGCTGCCTGACCTCAGATGTTCGTACTCCTGCATCCTCTTGTGCAGTCAAGTCTTTGTTGGCCAGGTGTAGTTTTTATTACATTTTAAAATATGAAGCAGGGTGGCAGTTGAAGCTTAACCAGCAGCCTGTGCGAGACATGCTTCTTTGTTATAGGAAATCTAGTTACATCTCCTGTAATTGCTTTTACCAGTGTCCCAAAGCATTCACCAGGCTTTTGCTGTTGTTACGGTCAAACCCTCTGCAAAAAAATCATCATCTGGAAAGAACTCCTAACTTTCTTTCAAATTCTGTCTCATAGACAGTCCAGCATTTTATATGACTGGGCCAGTAAGTAAGCTGGGACCAGCAGTTTCTATATTTTTCATGCTGGCAGATATTAGATTGTGTTACCTTTACATGCATGAGAAACTACATTTATTCCACAATTGTCTGTAGAATTTTATAGCTAAATACAATAAATCAATACTGTACCTACAAGGCTTGCTGCTGATTGATTTTTAAATGAATAGGACTCAACAAGAAAGGATCAGGCTTTCATCAAGTTTGTTGCTGAGACAAATGAAATTTGACTGAATTCACGCCATCTGAATGTACAATAGGTTTCTTTATGATTTTGAGGAACAGTTTATTCCTGGCAAGGAAGAATTCAAGGAGATACGCATTGTGTGGGAAGGGCTGTTCACCTGGGGGGACCAAGCTGGTCCTTTCTCTTATTAAGGGCAGCATGGAGTTTGGGGCGTCTGCTAGTATCTTAGCATGTGTGCATATACATGCATATAGATGTGTCTTATAGCTGTGTACAATTACTTATTTTTTTTAGAAGCAGTTGCATGGCTTCAAGTACTGGAAGTAGGCACATTTGCAAAAGATACAGTAAAACACGATGATTTAGTGGCTGTGACCTGTGTGCCATCTAGTCTTTTTACATCAGCCTCAGGGAAGGCAGTTGCAGTGGCAGCGTTACTGCCACTTATTTCCTTAGCATTTTTTTCTCAGGGAAACAGTATTTGAATTCAAGGTTTCAGCTCTAAATCCTGACATCTGATAGCCATTCTTAGCTCTGCTCACTGTTGAGGAGCCTGTAGTCTTAGATACTGTGCCTTTCTTAGAGAAAGAACTATTTCTAGCCTAACACCTGCTTTACTTTTACTGAATTCCTGTTTTTTTTTTTTTTTTTTTTTTCTTTTATGACTGTGAGAGTGCTACTACAAACTGAAATCACAAACAGAGGGCTTAGATTTCAGGAAAAGACTCCTCCAAAGGACAAGATAAATAACGTGAAAACAAAGATCTTGTTTTCTTGCAGTGTTCTTTTGTGACTGGGCTAAAATGAGAAAAATGTGTGTGGGGTTGAGAAAACAAATATAAGGAACCTGATCCACTGCATAAGCAGAAGTCAAAATGAAAATTTTCAAGCATTCTAGAAGGCATCATGAGATCTTTATAGGATTTAAGCTGACCTCTTTGTAACCTCCATGTGCACAGAGACAAAAGGACATGCAGATAGGAAGCGTGTCTGAAAGCATTACAGCAATGCGCGGTAGACAATGGAAACCTTGAGCTGCATGTCATTTAGGGTATTTGTATGGAGATTCTGTGGCATAGCATATCAGTGTCTGAGTATTTTTCTGTAACGAACAAGACAACATTCCTGAAATGAATAGCATAAAAACTGGGATTTGGATGCAGGTTGCAAGGTTCTTCTTTCACTGGGGGATGAGAATGTGAGTGGAATCTGGGCGAATGAATTTGACTGGTCCGTTTCTGATGTTGGCCTGAATTTTGTACCATTTCTTGCTTCCTCATCTGAACTGAAACATGATTAATTACAGAAATATATTTTTTTGGAAAGGCAGGAAGAGGGACTCAGTAAAAAAACAGAGATAAATCATTTCTCTTGTTTAATATTTTTAATATTAGAATTATGAGCTGCCCTCATTCTCAATTACCCTGTTAAAATAAATAATAAATGAGTTAAGCTCAGTAGCAACAACAAAGCACTTTTGTTGTTGCTATTGGTTTTGTAATTGCTTAATTTTAACTTTAGTTATGAAGACAAGTAATTAATTAAATTCTAGTCATCTTTTTGAACTAAACAGGCCTCACACCTTCTTCTACAGCATAAATTTGAAATGCAAATGATTGGATTTTTAAAGGGGACAGATTTTTACAGTACTGAATTAGATGTGGAGACTGCTAATGGCTGGCACCAGTCCTTGCCAGGGTGGTTGGAAACAAAAATGTTGAAAACTGCACTTTTTTTTTTGCCCCTAGTCAACTTGACACAGGCCTGAATTCTTAAGCTAATACAACATTAAAATGTTTTTTTCTAAATTGTAAGTATAAGAAATAGAAAGAGGTATGATCTCCTGTAAAATACTCTGCTGCTTGCCTTCAGCAAGGTGTTAACTGAAAATTGCTGTCAGTCAAAAGATGTATGGGAAAGTTGTGGGAGTGCCCATAGCACACCAGAAATTTGCATGCTCCTACCAACTTCTGTTTATTGTTCATCCATGTCAGTGAGACTCATTCCAACATCTAAATTAAAATTTCAGTATAAAGGGCCAGTTGGGGTTTTAGTTCTCAGTTACTGGAGAATCAGTTGTTTCAACAACACTGTTTGTCAGTCTTTCATATTTCTTTTACATTTTAATTATAACTCATCAAATCTTAACCAATTACTCCTGGGTTAGACTCAGACGAATGCAACTGAAGAGTGTTTTAATTTAATGGAAGCAGCATAACATCTGTTTCCAATGTTTTAAAAGCCAATTTATATGGAAATTTTGCTTTAGTGAAAAGTCAATGGATGTGGACTTCTCTAACATCTCCTGTAGAAATTAAAAACTTGGATTAAAGCAACATCAAAACAACGCCATTCTTTCTTGTTGTAGCAATGTGATTACATTTTCACAGCCCTTCATTTGTATTCTTTTCATTCTACTGAAATGATGTTTTTACTTGTCTTTTGTAGTCGAGCTATCAAGACAAACCAGGACCTTCTGCCAGAGACACCCTGGACCCATATATTCTACAATGACTTCTGGGGAACGCTTCTCACTCACAGTGGGAGCCACAAGTCATACAGACCTCTCTGCACTCTCTCCTTCCGCATCAACCATGCCATCGGAGGAATGGATCCATGGGGTTACCATCTTGTAAACATCCTGTTGCATGCTGCAGTCACAGGCCTTTTCACAAACTTCTCCAGGATCCTCTTCGGGGATGGGTACTGGACCTTGATAGCTGGTTTGCTGTTTGCGTCTCATCCGATCCACACCGAAGCCGTAGCGGGGATAGTGGGGAGGGCAGACATTGGAGCCTGCCTCTTCTTTTTGCTTTCCCTGATGTGTTACGTGAAGCATTGCTCTACAAGAAGTTCCTCAGCTAGAACTTGGGGCTGGATCTTGGGAGCAGGACTTTGTGCTGGATGCAGCATGCTGTGGAAGGAGCAAGGAGTGACTGTACTGGCAATTTCAGCAGTGTACGATATCTTTGTATTTCATCGGCTGAAAATGCATCAGATCATTCCTGCTTTATACAAGGTGAGTCTCCCTTTTCTTTCCCATAAACTGTTAAAAAACAGTCACTGTTAATTAGGTGTTAAATGAGTTTTCAAGCACAGAATAATTCTCAGTAGTTTAGTCAACTCTGAAAAATAAGCACAGATGTCTAATACTGAAAGTATTTTTAATTCAGTTTAGTAAGGAGTTTTTACATTTTGTTTGAACAGTGTGCTATTACCCATTGCTATTACTTGACACTGGGGATTTCTTTCATTACTTTATTTGCTTCCAGAAGCTCCCTCCTCATTCTGTTTACCATCAAGCACTGCATGTATGGCTGACTTTTGCAAAGAATCCATTCTCTTGTTCTCTTGTATCTTGCTAACTTAGCTTAGTTTGGTCAAGCAGGCAAGAGCAGCAGCTTATACCATGTAGGCTCCCTGGTGCAAAGATAGAACTTTTCATTGTTCTGGTTTAACAGAGATGCACAGAATCTGGCAGCACGTCTTTGGCATGCATTTTTTTCTCCCCCTAGTAAGAGCTGTGACAAATGTTTTATTGCCTTCAAGCAAAGTATTGCTCATTTTTTAACTTCTAGCCCACAAGCAAGCAAGTGTAATAAGCATAAATAAATGAAGCCCACCCAAAGCCCCTGTCTGTTTTCTCCCCAGAGTTCAAGTATTTTAGTGGCGCCCATATACTGTAGCTGAAATCAAGACTTGATCACATTAGTTGTCATACAAATGTGAGAGCTGAATATATGTAACTTTTTATTTCAGTGGATTGATTTTCCTTCAAAAAAATGCTGATTTAACAAAAGGAAAATGCTTCATGGGGACACCTGTCGTCTCATTTTTTAGTGAGATATAACTAAGTATAGGAATAAAATAAGGTTTTGAAGTCTGTTTCAATCACACTGATTTTTAAAATCTGACTTCTCACACAGATTAATCTAAAATAAATTCTAGTTTTATAAAGTTATTATTTTAGCTTGCAGAGTGTAGAATAGATTCTACAAGTAGCATACAATGAAAATAAAGTCAGAAAAAGCAAGTAGTTTCTTGTAGTTGCCTGATAAACTCCTGTGGCACGTTGACTTAGCCATCATGCATTTTTCTGACATAAATGGCCATATTAAAGAACAGAATAATTTCTTATGTTTAAGACCTCTTTTGAATGCCAGTGGCTAAGTACTGTATGCTAAACTGTGCCCCTTAATGCTGAGCAGAAACAAACATGTATATGTATAATATGTATGTATTTTTTTTTAAAAAAAAAACACCATCTGTAACAGCAAATTTTATTCTCAAAGATATGGGAAAAGATACTGTGAAGTACTTTGAGGAATTCAGTTTGTAATTCAAATGTCAAACTGTCTTAGAGAATTACACAGTTAAAAACATTCATATTACACATATGAAATTCTGAATGCCTTGCACATAACTTCATACCAAATCTAAATTATTATTCCTCAGTCTGTCCTCATTGGACATTGCTCTCTTCAAAGGCCAAGTTACAGTCAATGAACTAAAGTTCCTTATCATAGAGTACTCATTGCTCAAAACCCTAAACCTTTACAGACATTTTTTATGAACTTTGGTGAGGAAAGCCTTTTATTCCCTTTTTCCCTGTTTCCTCCATTGACGCCAGGGTAAAAATTGGTCCGGCAGAGATTTTGGTGGCATAAATGAAATCTAAGTTTCCATGTCCTACAAAGTCAATGGAAGACCCATCCTTCTAGGTTATGTAGTTCAAAATTTGGACATCTGTATTCTCCTCTTGCATGAAACTGTCTTGGACAGCAAAGAAGTGTCAATGCCTGAAGTTGCTTTTTTTCCCCATCTCTAACAATAGAAATAATAATTCTCTGCTTTGCAGGTTACTAACCTCTAAGAAGTTTAGATTGTAGATGGAAGAAGTCTTATGGGGAGGATCACTTTAAACAAAAATGCAAATATAAATAAATAATACAAATAATAATAATAAAAAAATATAAATATTTTCCTTGATATGCCAAACATACATTTCCCGGTTCACTGACTTATTAGGCTGTATTTTGCTTACAATTCCGTTCAATCTGAATGCTGCTAGCTAGTTTTTATGTCAATGTTAAGGCAGCCTTTGTTCAGTCATTTACAGTGATGAGAGGTTTAGTTGGGAGCCCTGCTTATAAAGTACTTCCAGTTAGGCTTCTTTTGTTTTTTGTAGGTTTTACTTAAAAATCGTTCACAAATTACTTAAGATTTTACTTAAGCTTTAATAAGAACGTATCACCCTGTAGGACTTTGGATGCCAGGGATGTCTTCATTGACTTAACATTTTACCAGAACTGTTTCTCACTGAGTACTCACCTGTATGTTCTTTTGTACTCTGGCTTTTCATGGACCCGGCCATAACCATTAACCACTGCAATTTCCTGTTCCCAAGGCTTGAATGAGAAGTAAAGGAGTGAAGTGCAATTTTTATTTATTTATTTTTTTTAATTGATGATCACTGTAAGTGATTGGAGTTCGGTAATGTGGGTTTTGATGGTAGCATCTGAGCAGTGTTTGACAAGTCCTGACCATTATGGCAATTTAGATGCTGTCTTGTTGATTTCAAATGACTTTTTACGTTTATTTTCACATAAGTTTGAAATGATTATGCTGTAAGAATGGTAGTTTAAAATGATGCTTTGTTACTTTTGAAATGGTTAGTAAGAACAGAGCTAGGTTTTCTTGCTGAAAGCTTTAGTTTTAGTCTGGTGTGTTTGAGCAGAGAATGATAAAGACAAGCTTGTTTATCTTTTAGTTTTGTATTAAAAACAAATAATCCAAATAGGAGCCCAGAATACATTGCCATTTTCAACTCCACATTCTTTGATCAATTGTTTGGGTGTCACCTTTTTCTTGTTGTTTTGGCCTTAAAATGTGTCCCTGTTAAGAACTAAAAAATTATTTCTCCCTTCAGCAAACAAAACCAAGTTTTAGATTAACAGTTTTATTTGTTTTTTTTTTCTTTAATGTTGTTGCCTACAACTTTTTGCTTAGAAAGACATTCCTGCATTGCAACTTGCATGTCAATAGCCGTCTACAGATGAGTAATCCTCAGTTATCCACTGGCTTGAGCATTTCATAACGAGAATACAATATCAAAAAAAGAAACAGAGAAAAAAAAGCCACCACCAAATTCACTAAATACAAGTCTATCATGTTTCAGAAATGCTTTCCTGAATGTCTGTACAGATAGAACTGAAGTAATTTACCTGTTCTGGAGCTTGTGTTTTACATTTTCTCAGTGTGGGAAGGTAATTGTAGAAAGAAAAACATCAGATATCACTAAGAGCAGTCCAGAAAAATGTGATGGTCTTTTAAATAGCGTAGGAAAGTGTAGAATGGAGCCAGGGAAGAGTGGAAAATAATTCGAAAAGAGGGTTGGTTGAAATCTGTTCCAAGTATACAGTAACAATATGAAACTGATAGCAGAAGAAAGGGCATGCCACAGCATCTGTGGAATGGCAGGAAGGAACTACCCCTTTCAATCTACCTAACCTTAATCTCAACCCTGTCCAGCTGAGCTGACACATCTGTTTCATATGCTGTGCTGCAAACTGGAACTTTGAGGAAATGCTGGTAATAAAAATCCCTGAAAAACAAATATCCCAGATTGGGTTTTAGGAATTATTTTAAACCTGAATTCAACGCTGTATCCATTCTCTATCTGTATCCAGGTTGGACACTGTATTCAGTTTTCCTTGTTCTGCAAACAGCTGTACTGGGAAATTTTGGAGGAAAGTTGAAGTGAGAGGGCAGAAGACATTTGGGGCAGTGAGTGGTTAAGGACTTGGGCTTTTGTTTGTAAGCCTTTTGAGAACGCACTGCTGGGGGAACTAAGATCCAATTAGTTATGTACAAGGAACAGTAAGACCACTGAATGCATTCGTGATGGTTAGAGAGGATGAGTTGCTAACAGCAGCCTTAAAAGTGCTCCAGCAGGTGGTAGAGATGGCACAGGGGGTGGTGGTAAATTTCTTTCATTTTGTTCTTATCATTGGTCCAAGTGTAAAATAAATGAGAAATGGTGGCTCTGACATAAGACCAGTAGCTGTTTACTGGGCTCACACCTGTTGTCGTGACAAGTCAGTGATGTGTCACTTGATGTGCCATGTCAACTCCTTGCATTTTGAGAGGACTGATGGCTTTTGAATGAGGCAGCTGCAGAGAAGGACCACCAGCAGAGCAGATTAATATTAGCCTTTATTTAAAGCTATTTTTAATGCACTTTTAAAAGTGTATATCATAGCTACTTATTAAACTCTCCAGCTCTTTTCCCTGTCATCTATGTGCTGGTTATTCGGTAAAACTTGGCTGCTGATCTTTTTCCCTTTGCCAAGTCTTGTTGTATTCCTGTCTGCCTGTGATACTCAAACTCTGGCTGGCAAAGATGTCAGTCTGAATGCAGTTTGGTTTGGTTAGTTCTATTTTATGCTGCCATTTTTTAATTTTCTCATTTTCTAAGTGCACTCTGATAAGAAAGTATTTGCTGTCTTAAGTCAACAGAATTTGATGGAAGTGTGTTTATTGCAGTTGTAAATAAGTTGTTTGGAATGGGAGCAATTAAAAAAAAAATGTGGCTCTGTACTGGACAAAGCATTCCTTATTGAAGAAAGCTGAGATTTTGTTTTGATTTTCACCATTTTAGGCCTTGAGTTGTTTCTGTCTTAAGTTGCGTAGCAGGTATGCAGATTGATTGAGTTGTCATGTGTTGTGTGTATCTAATGGTTGTACCTGTCAGCAGTTAGACTTGCACAAATTAAACCATCGTAAGTACAGGGATTGGAGGGGGAGTCTGAATACAATAGAGAGCTGTGATCAAGTCTGTGATTATGGAAACTATGCAGATTCAGAGGCCTTAATTCTTTTGTACTTGCAGTACCCAGCTTAAGAGCTGAGCCATTAATCAACATTGTTGTAGACAATCTTCTGTCCAATTAGTTGTACAAAGCTAATATAAGCCCAACTGCGCTGTCCTTTATTCCTCTTTATTTTTTTTTTTTTAAG